TCTTGTGTGTTTCTTGTAATTGTAGCACATATTTCTTTCTGACACTTCCTTATAGTTTATTCTTTTTCATACAAGAAAGAAGTTTCCTTTAAGGGAAAATGCGACGTCACACACAGGGCATGACAATCTGTTAAAAAAAATCTCTTTATCATCAGCTACTGGAATAATATTTTGTTGATTCTATGATTTTTCCTCTAACACCTCTAGTAGGTCAACATTTTTGATTTGATTTCTCTTATACTTTAATTAGTCTCACATTTTGTCCTTTTCCAACAAAAAAAAAAGCCAACAATGAGCCAGCTCAATTAATGAACCAAATGGGCATGTAAAATCAGATTAGACCTAATTAAACCCCCCACTTCCTGCTGTTCGCCTTTTACAGACTGGCAGAGTGACAGGGAGTTTAAGCATCCGTGTAGATGGAGGGGAAGTGGGAAGGACAGCTCCATATGCGTTACGTCAGCCCGGGGGGACAGCTGGGTCCGACTGTCTTTTTCTGCCACACTCATTTGGCCTCAGCAATCATCCTGTCTTGTGCTAAAGGTCTCTCATCGCTACAAGGCTCCTTGGCACTATCTGGGAGCTATAGACGAAGAATATGCTGATTAAACATGCCTTCATTAAAACGATTACATGAAAAAGACGGTTTATTTCCCATGGGCAGCCAAATAACGACGAGGGGGAAGAAGAAAAGGCTTTGGGTGCAGGGATGGGGTTCAGTTCATGACTGAGTTGGGGGTGTGGAAGAGGAATCGCTTGTTAGCATTGATTTAAGTGACCTACACAGTCTTTAAGGACTGACAGTTTTTTGACTTAATATGCTGTGGGAATGAGCTGTCTTCTCCTTGCAGGGACAGCCAGCTTTTACCCCTTAACCAACACCCCTACCTGACTCACTACACCTACAGGCCACTTCCAGGTCATCGAGCTTCAAGCATGGAAGACCTTGCCAAAGATGCAGGAGAGGCGTTACTTCTGGTTCATTTAATACAGCCGTCCATGTGTTTTAGTGCCTGAATAGCAGTAAACCATGTGGAGAGAGCAGAGAAGGAGAGGAGGGAGTTAACGTTGTGATGAAGGCCAAGTAAACGTCATCAGCTGGCAGGCATTCTTCAGCTTGTCCTTTTTAAGCAAAAGTTTCAGATGGACAATATCAGACAGGATTGTTTTTCTTCTTAATTATTTGCATGCAAGATAAGTGAATCAAAAGCCTTTTTATTCTTCTATCCATTAAAGACCATCCTTAATTTTTTTAATTCATCATTGGGTAAAGTTAATTAAGTTAATTAACTAATATCATAATTCACTTCTACTTACTAAATAACACATTTTTACTTTTATCTTAGCACTCAGCTCACACTGCTCCAATTATCTTCATCAGCGGTCCTGCTGCTTAAAGATCAAGATGAAATTCTTAATTTAAAAAAAAATTAAAGTACAGCTAGAATTTTATTAAAGCTATTTTTTTAAACCTTTTTTCCTTTATTAGATAGGTCATCTGAAGAGAGACAGGAGGGGTGGAGAGAAGGCTGGAGGAGTGGTGGATGTCTTTCATCAAAGGGCAGAGGTTGGATTCAAACCCACAGCCGCTGCAATGAGGACAATAGCCTCTGTTCTTGGGGTGCAACATAACTGCTAGACACAACTGCAATAATGATTTTAAGTTTCCTCTCATGTTTGCTATCACAAACTTAATCCTTCTACAGTTCACCTCAGTCTTTCTCCAGAGCACAGCCAGCAGCAATCCTTTAGTTCGCACATATTTATCCTCTGTTGCTTTTTTTTATTTTTATGCTGCTTTTGCTTTTTATTGTCCTGTATGTCATCCTGAATCTCACTAGCACTCAGAGAAAGTGACAAAATTGCATGTATGAGGTATGGAACTGTGCATCTGTGAATATCAGGACATTGCTGCGAATAATCATGCATGTGTGAGCAAGAAAATGTTCAGGAGCCTTAGAGCCAATTAAGGTTCTCAAATAGGAATGTAAATATTTGTTTGTTTTGTTTCGAGTGCATCCAAATGCTTTTTCAACAACAAGCCACAGAAGACTTTGTATTGTCCTCAAAGCAATCAGGCTAAAAGCAAGTTATTCTCAGTGACATAATGAAATGAAAGCGAGTAAAATCAGCAGACAAATTATATTTAAGCCAAACTAAATATTTCTAGGAATCATAATCATATGAGCCGTTTAAAATGTAATCGAATGTGATCATTCATCCTTATCAACCACATGCAAAAAGAGGTCACATTTTGGTGATTTCTCAGCAGTAGTGAGTGACCTGTATAATTGGATGAGGTCACTATGAAACTGGAACTGACCACTGTGTGATACTTCAGTTTGTTTCCCTGAAACTACTTCTGTTTTCTGTTTCTCTCAACGTTTCTCCTCACTGAGAGGAGACACAGATGGCTTATCGGACCATGTTTCAGGGGTTAGGACCTCTGACCAAACTGACCTTTGCGTGACAGCAAGGTGCATTTTTTGACCGTTGAGGAAGTGCACAGGGTAAAAACTTCTGAAACCCCTTCTGAATGAACGATGAATGATAATTAAAGGAAAATGTTTAAAGGTGGACCTGGTCCTTCTCAAGTCAGTACTGGTCAAGTATGAAATACCACCTCATGTGACTAGATATCCATAATAACCAAAACTAAGAAAATATCCCGATGATGTCATATTGATGTCATTGGGGTTGTTGGCTGGTTCCTGTTTGTAACACAACGAGCCTGTGTACAAGCTGCTCAATTATTGCAAAAATCCTAATCAAGATTATTTTGATTGATATTGAGGTCACGAAAATTATTATTAGTGGTTTAGGATTATTCATGGATTTCAAAACATCTGCATCACAAGAATTTACCAAACTTAAACACTCGTAACACTTGAACATCCTGAACACAAGTGACAATAAATAAGTAAAATGTACATGTAAAAATAATGATATCACTTATTGATTTTTATTTTGTATTTTTTTTAACAAATTGTGTTTTTGAGGTATAGCGGTGATATAGCAACTCTTCTGGCTCAACAATGAAAACAAACACTTTAAAACATTTACCACAAGACAAAACCAATGGACAACACAAGAGCAACATGCGGCACAGTCAATCGTTTAATCTGAATGATCTTTTTTTTTATGATCGTGGGAAGCGAGTATCATAATTGAAATGTTTTAATTGCCCAGTCACATGGATTTTTAATGAAGAGAGATTTTATGGAAGCAGAGAATATTTAGAATGATGCTATTAAATTGCTTTATATCATATGTGGAAGTCAGCACTTCCCTATAGCTTGACCTCTACACGGGACTAAAAGTCTGCGTATTATCTCAAGCTGTTCATTAATACACCTCATTTTTGGAAGAGCAGTACAAACTTGATGAATGCCCCTTTAAAACCCAAATGACAGACTATCACATGGTCATCTTTTTACAGCTCTAAATCAAAATCGCTGAGAACATTTCCCTGAGGAATCTTCCACATTTGGAGAGGCTTAAATTGTTACTGCCAATCTCTTTTAAGTTACAGCTGATAATGAACTTTAATGTGGGCTAAACCATTCCTTTAATGTTGTCTTTAAAGTGGTATTTAGAATAACATTACCCTCCAGTCAAATTACTACACTTGACGGTTAGGGTACTACTATAATAAGATTAAAACACACACACACATGCACGTGACCTGAGGATAGGTACAAGAAGGTTTGAGAGACAAACCCAACAACATGAACGTGCGTGGGCATACGGCCTCTGGGGAATGATTCAGAGGTCATTACCATACAGAGAAGACAAAGACGTCTTTCTATCAAACAGGTGTTGAGTTCAGTGGGGATGTGTCTTTACACTTACATACCTCCAAGATTCACTCATGTGTTTACACTCCAACCATTTCTATCAGAACATAAGCTCAGTGCAAACACTGAGCAGCACTGAGCTTGTTTGCTGAGTAAGATCTCCTTCCAATGCCAGATATTACAAAGTATATTAAACTCAAGTACTAATTAAAGGTTCTTTACTTTGTTTGGGGTATTTTCATCTGAAGATTGTAGGTTTAACTTTTTTCTCTGCTACATTTACCTCTCACACTTCTGGTTTATTTCTGGAGATGCAGAATCATTTACAATATGTTACATGTTCTAATGACCAAGTAGCCTATTAAAAAACGAGGTATTCTGGATAAAGCAACTATAATCCCACTTACTTTTTTATGATTATTAAATTGAGCATGCCACATAACAGCTTTTACTTTTAGTATTTTAAATGTGTTTTATAGCAAAAGGCCTACTTTTATATCCATGTTGTTGCTTTTCAAACTTCTATTACCATTGCCCTTTTGTGTTGCCTGTTTTTGCCTGTTCACTTGTTTTTGTGTGTGTGTACTTTGTTTTTCAACTAAAAACTTATTCTACCAATTAACAAAGTATGATGATGATGATATCTGCCTTATCCTTGTATTTAAATGTGCAGGATTCTAACTTTTATGTAGGTATAACCCTTCCAGATGTTGTTTTGTAAATCCCTGTGCATTAAATAATACAGGCCTATTCCTGAAGTTTTCTTTCTGTTTCTATCACGTGACTTTTCTATTTAGGTTCAGGTAAAACTATCTAAGCCCACTTCCTCCACCAGTTAATGAATAATGGGCTTATCTGAGTTTTATCTGAATAACTATTCAGTTATTTTTAATTTGATGCATGTACTATCTGACACCTTATCTTTTGTTTTCGCAAGACACCCATTATGCTTCATGCATTTCTGAAGACAACGCCTCTCCCTGCCTGCGGGGTGAAGGAGCGCAGTGCTGCGTCTCCTCCGCCTCCCACATCCAGGAGAGCTGGAAGTGCGCCAGGATGGGATTGACTTCCCGCTCCTGTCAGGGAGGAACTGGTTTGCCAGGATACCCAAATATGGACTGACCGATATTAAATAGGACCGCATGACTCAGCACCAGACTAGCCTATATATCCTTACGGATGGGACTGTGGAGAAAATGAAAGACAAAGTGGATATTGAAGTTTTAGGTGTCCTGTTCAGGTCTGAAGAGGCTCATTTCGCTTTTGGTTGAGCTGCGAGACACAACCAGACGGATCTGTTCGCCTCCTACTTCACCATAATGAGTGAGAATCTGCCCCGGAGGTATTTCATGTACTTACCTGGGTTACGTTTTCCCTAGGTCGAATAGGCTGTGTCTTGTTTACAGCCGTAGTTCCTGGCACAAACGTCATCAACTGTCTGACAACTCGGAGGCGGTGACCACACAGACAACCAATCAGAAGGCGGGTAGGAGCGCTCATAGACTCCGCACATTTAAATACAGCGCAGAATTCCGGCCGCCTGTCACTTTACAGGAAACGAGAGAGGAACCCATTTCAAAGCAAAAAGAAACACGGGTGAAATGAAAACATCTGAATTAGTCACTGGACTCCGCTTTGAATCCAACTAAAGGTACAAATCGACGACTTGGTACAGTACAGTTCCACTATTTTGGAAGTTTTGCTCTGTTTTTGATAGACTAGATCTTCAGTATAATAATAGACTACAGCGGGACTTTGTGCCGGAGCTTGAATCATTTGGGACGCTGACGCCTCGGTGTCCAAGCAGCATCTTTACAGCGCACTTTTAACATTTGACTGTGTGATTTGAAATATGTCCACAATAATGGAACAGCCTTTTTATGACGACTCGTTTCTCTCTGCTTATGGCCATCCAGGCGCAGCACTGCCAGACTACAAGCTGCTAAAGCAGAATATGAACTTGAACTTCCCTGATTCATATCGGAACTCAAACTTCAAGTCGCAGCACCTGCGCGCCGAAAGTGACTTCTATTCAACGGGGTCTGCGGACGTCGGCTCCCTGAAGCTCGCATCTCCTGAACTGGAGCGCCTCATCATCCAAAACAGCAACGGGGTCATCACTACAACACCGACACCTGCCCATTACCTCTTCAACCGCGGGATCACAGAGGAGCAGGAGGGCTTTGCTGACGGTTTTGTGAAAGCTCTGGACGATCTGCACAAAATGAACCAGATGGCACCTCCAAACGTGGCCATTGGTACCGCTGGCGTTTCCTGCTCAGGTCCAGTCTCGGTGTTCGGCTCTTCCATGCAACCAGAGCCTCTAGAATACACCAACCTAAGCAGTTGCGCAACGAACCCCAGCCTGTCCTCTGGAGCAAGCTATCCCTCTACAACTATCAGCTACCTGCCTCACCATCAGTACCACCAGCACCCCCAGGCCGTAGCGCACGGATCTCACCATTTCCAGCACGCCCTGGCAGGTGCAGGCATCCACTCACAGCGGTTCGGCGGGTTGAAAGAGGAGCCCCAGACAGTCCCTGACATGCACAGCAGCGACAGCGGGTCTCCGCCGATGTCTCCCATTAATATGGAGAACCAGGAGCGGATCAAAGCGGAGCGCAAGCGTCTGAGAAATCGACTCGCTGCCTCCAAATGTCGGAAGCGCAAGCTGGAGCGCATCGCTCGCCTGGAGGACAAAGTTAAAGGGTTGAAAACGGACAACGCCGGGCTGTCGAGCACAGCTTCTGTACTGAGAGACCAGGTGGCGCAACTCAAACAGAAAGTCATGACACATGTGAGCAGCGGCTGCCAGCTTATGTTAGCGCCCAAAGTAAAGTCTTATTGAAGAAACAGCACTTTTAAAAAACACTGGACATGAACTGCACTGACACAACGAACAATGTCTTTTGAAATAACTGGATCATTATGGTTTCTTTGTTTAAAGGAACTGAAGCCTACACGGAAATCACAAAAGACTTTAACACTTTGGGCATTTTTGAATACGTTTTAAAAGGTCCTTTAGGCTTTGCCTGTTTACATTTTACTTTAATGGATATTTGTGATGTATTCTTGTGTAAGTTATTTGCGTTTGTCAGGTTGAGCCTGTATTTTGTTTTTTACCTGTACAGTATATATTTAAGTAAATGAAATTATGAAACAAAGCTATACCTTGTTGCTTCTTATTGAGGTTTGTGTCTATTTAAAAATGTCATCTCTTAGGGATTTTTTTTTTACAGCATTTACGGTTAACATAACCACACTGTTGTCAACAGCTAAGTTTATAGTGGCAGCATAGTTTGACGTTGGTGACGTCCCAGCGTGGGATTGTTTCATTATTGACGTACATACGTCTGTCCTTATATGGTCAATTTTGCTGGTAAACGTCACATCACGAGAAGGTTTCCGGGAACTCCCTCCTACACTGCCCGTACAAAACGCCGCGCTCTCCCCTTCACACCGCACACACACGAGTGTGTACGTGTGATTTGTCAATGAGTGGTTTATCCGAATCAGGGGAGTTTCCCCGTTCAGCTTTCAATTTCCCAAAACAAGTCGTGAGAACACTTGTTTTCAGAAGAAAAGGGGTGAGAGACGGAAGTTCCAGATAACACTCAGAATAGACTCGAGATGGGCGAGAGGCAGCTTGAAATAACAATGGGGGTCAACAACAGCTCAAGGAGACAAATGTTAAATAAGCTGACACATTATATCGAAGAAACACACACCCACAAAAAAAAAAAAAAAAAAAAAAAAATCACTGATTTATAGACACAGAATGAGGATTATGACTCAAGACTGCATTGCTCGTCTTATTTTGTGAGTAAAATAAGACGAGCACTCTAACTTTTCTCCACAACAGAGGTAAGTATCTCTAGCTGGAAGGTAATAGGCTGCATGTCTGTGGGGGAAAAAATCCAACAATCCAATATTTCCCAATAAGCGTCAGCACCATTTGGCAATGCCAGGTTGTTATGCTGAGTCAACCACCGCAATAAATCCAACATTAACTAAGACTTCACAGCCATGTCATGCATTTAGATCTGCATTTAGGCACACAGCCCAGGACTGATACACAAAGTTTTAAAAACTATGTCTGTTGGCCTAATAATTAAAAGTAAGTCTTAAAGTCACTTAACTGGTAGGCAACCAAAACGGGTTCAAGTGGTTGTATGGCACCACCATGAGGTCAGATATGGAATTACTTTCAAAATGTTTATCAGTCCAGATACCTTTGTCACACAAACCCACAGTCACCATTTTCCCAATGTTTTAATAAAGTTGGTAGCAAATGATTGACAGCAGAGGGAAAAACAATCAATACTTTTATGAAAAAAGAAACAAAACGTTCAGTGCTTGAGACTATGAGGTGGCCTCACCAATTGTACATTGGACGTACAAAGACAAGATCCCCAATTGAAGGATTTATCGAACAACTTGTGAATTTCTTGAGTTTAACACATTAGATTGGACGCCATGATACTGCTTCACAGGGACTACCCTTATCTGAAGGCAAGTGCTATGGTTAGGGAGACCACTAGAAGATCTTCCCATTTACTGCTTGGAGAAGAAGTCTTTGCTCTTCTCAACGTCAGGGATGATGGTGTCGCTACCTGGTTTCCATCCAGCAGGGCAGACTGTGTAAAGAGAGGAAAAGGTACAAAGTTTGTTAAGTGAAAGACTTTGAACTTTACATACTCTAAGGACAAAGTACAAGTACATGTGTCAATACCCAGGAGGCTAAACTAATAATGCATCCTCTGCCCCAAACTAAGTATGTTTTCCAAAAAAGTTTCAAGCTACAAATAAGCTATTTTTGTTTGTTTTTTAATGAGAATACAGTATATTAACCCAATACCTGAGGCACATGAGCTTTCAAAACACTATTTTCACAGCTCTAGGTGATGAACAGCCTGTCCATCACTCATCAAAAGGATGAGCAAAACTCCATATTTACTAACTTAGAACTGTTCAAACTGAACATATATGAAACAGGATATAAATGACAACCGTCGAGAAAAAAAATAAAAAACATGCAACTGCAAAATAGGTAAAGAACAGCTAGTGATAATATTTCCAGCAGGTGCTGAAGGCTACATGATTAATGTATTAACTTTAATATTCATCATTTTGAGATTCTGGTCAATATAGCTTTAAAGCAGATAGAAAAGCTTTAATAAAGGGGGATAGAGATTTCCACTGAGTATTTTCATATGATACTGGAGAGGGGAACTTTGGGTATTAATAAGAGATGTCACTCACCCTCTCCGTATTTATCAGTGTGCTGGAAGGCCTGGACCAGGCGAAGAGTCTCATCCACAGAGCGACCCACAGGCAAGTCATTGATGGTGATCTGTCTCAAGATGCCCTTGTCGTCTATTACAAACAGACCCCTGCGGAAACATTCATTCAGATTAGAGGAGGCCATTGTCTCCATTGTGTTTGATACGCTTGTTTTATACTACTCACAACTATCGTTTCAAAAGAAAGCTTGTTTTAGAATAACACACGTCTGCCTGACCTGTATGCAATGCCATCATCCTCCTTCAGCACGCCGTAGTCTGCAGAAATTGTCTTGGTTAGGTCAGCCACTAGGGGGATTTTCATATCACCCAGACCTCCCTGCTTCCTTGGTGTGTTGATCCTGCAGAATATAAATAACAATGTAGATAGAGAATCAGATATCAATTGTGTTCTAATAAATTGGGTTGTGGCCTGCTTTCTGTTGGACAGGCAGGTCCCATACACCGGCCATGAGCTTGTGCTAGCTTACTAAATTATCAGCTTTTCCATGACAACAAATGTAATATTCTCAGGTAGCTTGCGGAGTAGGTTGAACCATTAAACGTACACCCCTGCAGTGGGCATTTGAATGTTGTGTTTACAAGCTGCAACGGACCCTACTAGTAACTCTTCATTTAAGGTCTTAATAAAAACAGGACATTTATCAAATTAAAAAGCTTGTTAGGGCTGGGCGGTAAATTGACTAACAATAAACTTGACTTGTAGAAAATCTTGATTTTAAAGAATGAAAATCTAGATTTTCTTTTTAACTTGCTGCGCCGCTTCCCTTGTCTCCCGTAGTTCACATCCTCCCCCTTCGTTTACCTCCGACAGAGTTCCTCAAACATTGCTGAAGTGGCTCTCACTCATCTGTACCCTGAAACTACTAAGTGCTCTTTGAAAGACAAGTTTAAAGCTTGCACTTCAACCCCTAAAGAGAAATTCTGCTTACTTTATTAATCCTTGAAGGGAAATTCAGTTTGCTTTAGGTACATTGTATTGATGAAATAAAAGCAAAAATTTTAGAAGAAAAATAAATTGAGTGTGAATTGAGTGTACTGTGAAAAATGTATATTTCACACACACATATACATATATATATCCACAACTTCCCAGTTTGGGATCAATTAAGTAATTCTATTCTAGAGGTCATATTGCCTAGCCCTAATGCACCGTATTACCAACAAGACATGAGAATGAGGTCCATCTAACACTAATATGTCTCAAAGGTAATACTGTCTTCAAAACCTTGAATAAAGAAATACACCTAATTCAGCAGGGTAGTGCGTTTACAAAGTTAAATTCATCTCACATTCTGATTTCTCTGGAAAATGGGGTTTGATAAAGAAGCCTTTAGCGCTCAGTATATTTGGACTTATCAATACTTTGCAGAAGCGCTGGACAGGAGATAAACTGATAGAGCAGGGTGTGGTTCTTCAGATCTGCAAAACCTCTCACCAACTGTACTTAATAACTGCCAACAAGGGACGTTCTGATCCAAGTCTCTCGTAAACCACCTGCCAAGTGAATACTAACCTCCAAGTAACCCGTAACAATATTTTCTTTAGAAAAAGAAAAGTTGTTGGGAGTTATGCTTACTCCATGTCAGCATGATGGATTTTATTCCCTCAGTTTTTAAAGGGGATATATTATGAAAAATGCACTTTTACAGTGTTCTTGAACATATATTTAGGTAACCCGAGTGAAATAAATCCATCCAGTCCTTTGTTTGTGGTCTGCGTAAGTCTTACAACACAGAGAAAAATGCTCCATTTCAAATTTGCTCTCCTTGTGATGTCACAGTGGGATTCTGGTAAAAGAAAATCCCCTCCACTCCCCTGGTATCTCTAACCCATGGACTCCACCCCCAGCCTAGAACAAAACTTTTGAGCAGGTCTGCCATTTTTATTCTTGCTACAGAGGATTGATGTGTAATGGGAAAACTCAGGGGGGGCTCATTACATTTAAAGAGACACACACACCAAAATGGAGCGTTCTGAGAGCTGGTTTATACAGGGTCACAAACCTCCTCTGGTGCTTGATTCATGTTATATTTTGACCAAAGCACAGCACAGATGTTTCATTTAGACCACACGAGACTGTTTTAAAAGGTGGAAAAGGGGTAGAATATGTCCTCTTTAAGTTTTCAATGCATACAATCACAACATTCACGGTACAACTCAAGTCAGGATTTCCTTGAAGTGGGAAGGAATTCTCACCATGCCAAATGACTGAAGTGAGAGTCCACAGAGCAGCCGATCACCTCACAGCCAATACTGCGGAACTCCTCTGCCCTGTCGCTGTAAGCCACAATCTCAGTTGGACACACGAATGTGAAGTCCAGGGGGTAGAAGAAGAAGACCACATATTTCCCTAAAGGGGAACAGGGGGAGGCTAATGAACCAATACTAGTCTACATAGAATGTAAATACAAAGGTAAAATCAGGAAGCTTTACAACGGAAAAATTAACTATGAAAAATAAAATCTTCATAATGTTCGGTGCTCTGGACTGGAAAACTAGTTTATTAGATCGTGAATATAATGAAAACCTGAAGATGTTAACAGCTGTATGATACCAATGACGTACAAAGCCCATGATTCAGTAGACTGTGTTACCTTTGTAGCTTGACAGCTTGATGTCCTTGAACTGTCCATCCACTACAGCTGTGGCTGTGAAGTCTGGGGCAGGCTTGCCGATTTTAGCGTTTCCAGAGGACATGGTGGTGGTGACAAAGTACTGTGGGAGAGACGGGACATATAGGTACCAGAGGAAATTCCTGATGCTCACACGCCGTCATAGATAAGTTCAGATGGGTGGAGCCTATGGCACTGGCTATGGTAGCATCAAAGCACTCTGGAAACATGTGTCAAAGATTTAACATACATGAACAAGTGCTTTAGGATTTAAACCTAGGGTTTTCATCGCTTTGGTGATTGCAGTATTGCTTCAAAGCTTGTTCAGTTAGGCAAACCACAGAGAGTCACATGCAAGTCATGTTGAGCCAGCAGAGAACAATAGCCTATTAGAAAGCTTACATAAGCAGGATACTCTCATACTAATAAAAGGTGCTTGTTTGATATAAACCTGTTTTAAACAAGGGATGTACATGTGATTTATCCTATCGGAGTTGAATCTTAGGTTATAAGATTTACATAATTGTATTCATTTACACACTAAACCTAGTTTGAGTCAACTAAGCCTTCAGAGCAGCCGTGACCTGTTTATACTTTGAATAATGACGGTGATGGCACGATAAGGTGCTAGTCACAGTCTCAGTTACATATCTAAATGAGAGACTCGTCTTTCCGTCTTCTTTTATGTTACAGAAGCAGCAGACATTGCTTGGTCAAAGGTCAGCTATATTGCATAACACTTTACATTTGAAGTGGTTTGTAAAATGCAATGAAACGAGCAAAAGGTTAAACAAAGCAGGGGCCAGAGTCTTCTCTGTTGCAGCAAAGGGACAAAGAAAAATCCACAGACAGGCCCAACTAGTAAGGAGGGGAGCCACTGACCCCCGCACTGGCTGGCTAGCTGAATGTTAGCTTATCGTTAATGCAAAAAGCCGGATATTTACATTTGTGTAAGTTAAATAGTTTCACCTGCTGTCCGAGCCATGCAAACATAATGTAACTTTGGAAGTAATTAGTCATTCTAAAATAAACGCATTACTCACCTGTCTTTACGTAAAGCCGAGGAGAACTTGGCAGGGATGAAGTCTGCTGCTGGCAGGAGAAGAGAGCACTCAAAGGAGGGACGGCTATATGCAAGGAGGAGGCGGGGCCAGGAGTGACACCCGGAAGTGAAATCACTGCCTTCAAAGTAAACCTAATTCAAATTTACAGTTTTTCTCAGTCGCTTTGGTACATTTCTCGAATCGTCCTCGACATTTGCAAAACTGTGAAGTGCATTCCTCAAAACAATTCGTACAAATAGCAAAACACTGTGGATTACCTGCAAAAGCCAGTCTCTTGCTCAAAATCCTGAGTTCATCTCTCAAAAGTAAATATCTGTGTCAATGAACATGTCAGTGGCATCAGAATGACAAGTCCTTGTGTCATTGTGTACGGATAAGACAGTCAAATTGCTTAGTCATGTTGTCAATATGACAGTGTACTCTGGAGGGGTGTTCTGATATAAACTATGGCTAAAGTTCTGATGACAATTATTGTAAATTGTAAGTTACGCCTTAGTGTATGTGGGAGATTGATTGCAAGAGACTGGACAAGATTCACGTTTACGCTTTTACTGTTTGCACTGTAATTTGTTGACAGGTTGTTGACATGTCATTGCGATACAGAAAGGAAAAGACAGCACTGCATAGCACAAAGAAAAAAAACAAAAGTAGAAATGTGAACATAGGACAATCTCCTTAGGGAAAACTGTACATGCAGTGCTGTAGGAATTACAGTGCAGTCTTCCTACACCTCCTGACGTTCCTGTCTGTTGGGCCACAAATTCTCATCCACATCACAACAGATATCTTCTCTTGTGATGCAGCGTGGAAATAATCTTTTAGAGTGTCTCTGCAGGCATCTGCTGTGATGTCATCACACGCTGCATCCATGGCAGCCAGAAGGGTCATCTGTGTATGTGGCTGGCGATCATATACTTTCCATCTCCATGCTGAGAAATATTCCTCAATGGGGTCAAGGAATGGGGAGTAGGGGGAGAGGAACTCCATCAGCATCCTGTTGTGGGTCACAAACCATTGCCTGATAATGTTGGAGCGATGGAGATTCACCTGGGAGCAATTTACCAATTCAGGACAGATTTAGAAAAAAAGTCTAATAGAAATGTATAGAAATATGCTTCACATAATATGACAACTTGTTCAACCATTTTCAACCATTATGCGATGAACTAATGCCTAAATGTTGTGGGGGGTGAGACTATTCAACAGAGACCCATTATAATACATTTTGATCAACATGACATAAGCAATTGATAATGTAGGAAACAGCAGAGAATTGTACATAATCATTTGCATGGATGTACCAAAGCATTTGCAACTTGTTCAAAGAAATCAGAAACTGCTTTTTTGATGTGCACAAGTGACACAATGATGTGAAGATTGAACGAGTAGTTTTGAAAATTTCAATTCTGATCTGAGAAATGTACCAAAGCAACTGAGAAAAACTGTAAGAAAAACTATCTGCTCTGAACGATATAAAAACAATATGGCATTGCAATCTTTCAGAATATATATGAAAAATATATATGCACCAACAGGTGCAAATCAAAACAGTAAGGACAAATACAGGACAGACATTGTATAATATTAATAATAAAATATAATAAAGAACTTAAAGAACTAAGCCTTTTCTTATAATGTATATTCTTGTACAATACGGAAAAGTTTCTTAGCAACTTAATTTTAGGTGCAAGGGTGAGATACAGCAGCCAATAATTTGGGATGAGCTCCCGTCACTTCTGCGGAAACAGAAACTTTTTGTAATGAAGGTTAGGTTAGGTTCAACCCACACCAAGCCCAAGCCCAGGTTGAAAACTACAGAACAGTTTCACTTCTGAACTTCTTCTAGAGTGTCCGAAGCGCAATGTATCCACAGGGGCGCCTCAAGAGTCAGTGCTCGGTCCCCTTCTCTTCTCCAGACATACCACCTCATTTGGTGCCACTCATGTAAACGTTTTTAGGCACAATACTTTTATTTTATATTTTATTTCTTATTTTTCTTTCTTTCTGTCTTTCTTTCTTTCGTCTTTCTTTCTGTCTGTCTGTCTTTCTTTCTTTCTTTCTTTCTTCTTTCTTCTTTCTGTCTTTCTTTCTTCTTTCTTTCTTTCTTCTTTCTTTCTTTCTTTCTTTCTTTCTTCTTTCTTTCTGTCTGTCTGTCTGTCTGTCTGTCTGTCTGTCTGTCTGTCTGCCTTTCTTTCTTTCTTTCTTTCTTTCTTTCTGTCTGTCTGTCTGTCTGTCTGTCTTTCTGTCTGTCTTTCTTTCTTCTTTCTTTCTTTCTTCTTTCTTTCTTTCTTTCTTTCTTTCTTTCTTCTTTCTGTCTGTCTGTCTGTCTGTCTGTCTGTCTGTCTGCCTTTCTTTCTTTCTTTCTTTCTTTCTGTCTGTCTGTCTGTCTGTCTGTCTGTCTTTCTGTCTGTCTTTCTTTCTTTCTTTCTTCTTTCTTTCTGTCTGTCTGTCTGTCTGTCTGCCTTTCTTTCTTCTTTCTTTCTTTCTGTCTGTCTTTCTTTCTTTCTTTCTTTCTTTCTTCTTTCTTCTTTCTTTCTGTCTGTCTGTCTGTCTTTCTTTCTTTCTTTCTTTCTGTCTTTCTTTCTGTCTGTCTTTCTGTCTTTCTTCTTTCTTTCTTTCTTTCTGTCTTTCTTTCTTTCTGTCTTTCTTCTTTCTTTCTTTCTTTCTGTCTTTCTTTCTTTCTGTCTGTCTGTCTGTCTGTCTGTCTTTCTTTCTTTCTTTCTTCTTTCTTTCTGTCTGTCTGTCTTTCTGTCTTTCTTTCTTTCTTTCTTTCTTTCTTTCTTCTTTCTTCTTTCTTTCTGTCTGTCTGTCTTTCTTTCTTTCTTTCTTTCTTTCTTTCTTTCTTTCTTTCTTCTTTCTTTCTGTCTTTCTTTCTTTCTTTCTGTCTTTCTTCTGTCTTTCTTATTCTTTCTTTCTGTCTGTCTGTCTTTCTTTCTGTCTTTCTTTCTTTCTTTCTTCTTTCTTTCTGTCTTTCTTTCTTTCTTTCTGTCTTTCTTTCTTTCTGTCTTTCTTTCTGTCTGTCTGTCTGTCTGTCTGTCTGTCTTTCTTTCTTTCTTTCTTTCTTTCTTTCTTTCTGTCTGTCTTTCTTTCTTTCTTTCAGCTCTGGATGTTACCACTAGGGTTTTATTTTGGTGAAAAACAAACCGGTAGCGTGCTTGATAACTTCCGCTGGTCTCGTCAGTGTGGGTGAAGCAGCTGTAAAGAGACTGTTCGTTCTGTTTATTTGAGTGAATTGCTTTTTATTTAGACCCCAAAGTCGTTGTTGGGTCTCTGATCCGGAAACTGGGGTTTGTAGTGTGACATTTCTTTGGCTAAAATGTAATTTAATTTGAAATAGCATGTAGCTCACGTTAGCTCCCAAACAAAGGGTGGATCATTCCGGTAGGTAACGCAAGTTAGCTTTTACAGCCTTAATGTTTAAGATGTTTTATCCACTTAAACTCTTAAAGTACCGCTATGTGTATTACCATGTAATGCTCCAAGGTGCACATTGTTAAACAATACGTAACAAACATTTAGACTTGTCTTGGGCTCTTCCTGTTTTATGACATAACATCATTTTCAATGTAAAGTTATTTTCTACAGCACTTCAGATGATTAAAGTGCAGTTATTTATTCACAGTTTACAATCAACATGTTTCACTTTATAGGTTTGCTGTCTGTTTTGACAACTTGTTTGTATTATTAGTGCCTGACTGTTCTTTATTTCAGGGCAGTATTGTCATATTTGCATCACGGACAAGGATATATGATCTCTAACACTTGCCATTTCTTTCAGGATTCATATATTTGATTTATTTCACAGTCTTGAGAAGACCGACAGGATCTGCAAGAAGTCAAACTTCATATTTCTCAGGAACAACCCACATTTTCAGCCATGGATTCTCAAGGTAAGAGACAACATGTTGATTACAGGATTAATGGAAGGACTTTAACACTGACTGTCATGTGTGGACTCAAACAGCAAGATCTGAGTCAGAATATCTATCTCATTTGTTAGCTTAATAGATAACAGACACACCAAGTGGACTCCTTTATATTGCAATGAAATCTCCCATTTATACTTCCCAGCAGCAAACCCTCAGCCAGTCATGTGTGAGGTCTGCGGGACGTACTTTGAGACACGACGAGGGCTCTCCAGTCATGCCCGTCTCCATCTCAGACAACTTGGTGTTACAATGTCAGAAAGCAGTGGGGCTCCAATTGATCTCCTCTACCAGCTCATCCAGGACAGAGATGGCTCCCTACCCGATTTCAAGTCTGAGGCCTCTGTATCCGAGCCAACCGCTCCCAAAAAAGCATCACATCAGGAATCCAGGGCACCTTCAGTGCCAGAGGACAGGAGTGCCTCTGCCAAAGCAGGAAGTAGAGTCATAACAGCATCACAAAAGATGACTCATCAGGGATCTTCAGCCAGACTGAAAGAGCCATCTACCTCTCTCCCCCCTGCATCCCCCTCTGCTCTTGGACTGTTTGAGTCTGAAAGACATGAAGGCACCAGCTCATCCTCCTTAGACCACCAAACCAAAACAAAGCCCATGTGGGCACCACTGGAAACTGATGCTCCAATCACCTTGGGTATGTATGAATTTTGAATAGAAAAGCTGTGTGTTCAAGATGAAGCTTTGACCCTAACGAACCTTATTTTATCATATGAACTCTGATGTCAGGTAGTTAAGAATGTATTTTTTTTTGTCCTAATAAGTGACTCCTTTTTCTCAGACACCAACGATGAGGTCCATGTTTGCCAGCTCTGTGGTTGTTGGTATGAGACCCGCAAAGGGCTGTCCAGTCATGCTCGGGCACATCTGCGCCAAATTGGAATCCCTGACAGTGAGATCAAGGGCAGCCCAATTGATCTTCTATACCAGATCATGGAGGAGGAGGACCTTAAGCCCATCAATATCAAGCAACATAAGGAGCATCCCCAAAACAGCCCTCCTAGATCCTCCTATAAACGTCCCTCTAATCTGTCCTCCCCAGCTGCGTCTTCCCCCAGCAAACGGCCTAAAGTGTCAGAGGATTGTACCTGTATTCTGTGTGGAGAGGCGTTTGAGAATCGTAAAGGCCTGGCCTGCCATGCTCGC